GCTGGGACGAGATTAACAAGTTCATCTTAGGGGCCAAACAAGTCCCTCCATCTTAAATAAAATACACGAGTATACAAGAATTACTTCTTTAGAGTAGACAAAACTTAGAGGTAGGTTATATCCATACAATAGTTGCAATGTTTGATAGGCACTGCTTTGAAAGACCTTTTTGGCAGGAAGAGTTCCAGAGGATTGGATAGCATTGAATACTATTGAGGAATAATAAAATGATCTCGTTCATTATATTGTTGAGTTGTGCCCTACACTGCATATCAAGCATGCACCGACCATTGGTTAGCCATTATCTATATTTACCGTTGTAGACTACCAGCCTGTGATGGACAGTTATATGATCGGGATTAGGTGCCCTACTATGCACACGATTGTTAAAGTGAAACCAGTTTCTTATATTCTCTAAGATGGATTGGATAACATGAGACACTACTAAGAAGAAAAATGAGTTAAGATCTTATTGATTATACTGTCCAGTCCGGTCTAATATTGTACACTAGACATGTATTCGTGGATTTAACTTCATGATATTCCAGACATGCTATGTATTTTAATCTAGCATGCTCTAACATATTTGTCGCTAATGTTTTTAACTAATAATCTCGGGTGAAAAGTCTTTATCTAATGTAACCCTCTCGAGGAAATTTCACTTTACTGATTGTATGGAAGTTTGTCAGTCATTGAAGGATATGAGATGCATTTGCTTAAATTTCTTACTTGTTGCTTTATCAAACGAAAGTGGTTTCCTTTCTTACATACGAATGAGATATTTAGGTTATATTTGATATGATTTTTGTTTTTGCTTTTTGTAGAAGAGCTTCTGGAGGAAATTAATTTTTAGAAAAAAAGCACCGTATTATTAGAAATAAAGCACATTCGTATTATTAGAAATAAAGCACATTCATATTAATTTTTTATTTGAAAATTAATTTTTAAAAAAGTTTCCTATTAGGGAAGTGTTTTTAGAGAAAATCACATTGGACCATATTTTTCTAATAGTTTTTCTAATTTGAATCACTTTCATAAAATTAGTCAAACGAGTTCAAAAACAGCTTTCAAATCTCAATAGCTCATATTGACTCCTCAAAAGTCACGTCAAACGGGCGCTTAGTCATGTTCAAAAAGTACTTTTTAACTGCTTTTCTATGTACGATGCAGAATTGTTAAACAATTTGCAAAATAAAAAGGGCGTGGGGAGAGTAATCACTCTAGGGCGTGGAGAGAGTAATCACATTAGCATATGATCAAGTAGCTTATCTAACCTATAAACTAGAAAAATGCCACTTTCACGGACGTAATTATCTTAGAGAAGATTCGGTCGAGGGTTTGAATTGTGATTATGAAGCAGCGACTAATTTTATACTTACTTATTAGTAAATAGAAAGAGAGAGATGGCCGAATGTTAGAAACTATGCGATATTGACAAGCGATTCACACTTAGATATAAATTTAAAAAATTGAACTAATTATTATAATGATTTATTGATGATTCAATGAGCATCCAAATTAGTCGTTAATAACATTTAGTAACAAGAGTGACACATTCATCGTAATAATCAAAAGATGAACATGATGATACCACAGCTATCACCATGTAAGGTTAAGAGCCAAGATTGTTTCCATGAATCTTGGATTTTTTGAAACAAGTGATTTTGATGTTTGAAATCACTAGGGATCTTTGGCTCTTTGCTTGACAGTGCAAACTTAATACCATGTTTGGCAGTCAAAAAATGAGATAGGCATGGTCGGGTTTGCTTGTGTTTGGGTTAATAACTTATAAGTTTTACGCATTGGGAGAGGAAAAAAAATACACGTCTTCTTACTCATAAGAGTGAAAGAAAAAAGGTTTACAAGCAAAAACAAACCAGAGTTGTTCCAAACTGCTTGTCTCTCAATGTATTTTTAACACTTCGACACAGACACATCGACACATCACCACTTCTTATTAAACGACAAATGACAAAGTCAATATTCATTGTGTTGATGTGTCAAAAATATATTAAATGGATAGCAAGTTTGGAACGGTACATTTGGGCTCCTTGAACATGCAATAGGTCTGCATCGTATATTAGGCATTCGGTAAAAAATCAATTTGAAATGTGAGTGAGGAAAATCGAATACCAAATCCCCAACCTTCGCTCACCGTAACGATGGGATCCTCAACCTTCTAATGTGGCAATTAAGGTCCCAAGTATATACTATCCCAACTAACGAAAAACGTCACTTTAACCTGTGTTTGGCTCATGTTTATAAATTCACTTTTTATTAAGATAATTTGAGAGACTTATAAATACTACTCATTTAATTTTTACCCATTTTTACCTATTTATAATTTAAACGGTTTATAAATTACTATCGATATGCCATTCTCGAAGCTATTCATAATTGGTCTTTG